GGGGCTGGCTGGCATGTGGTGCTGGGGGATTGAACCGCGGTCCCTGATGCTTTGCCAAGCTAGTTCCAAGTAGGTGCTTTTTAGACCACTGAGCCATCTCTCCAGCCCCTAAATAAGTGTTTTTAAAAAAAAATAATAAAATAAAAAAAAATAAAGGTGTGTGGCCTTGAAAGGACTGTGCCACGCTGGCTCCTGGAGAGGTCGCTGCAGCCTTCCACGTCGCCATCTACGCTCTTGCCAAGTGCGTCCCTGCGTGCGGTGCCTTTTTTCGCGGGAGTATCAAAACTGACTCAAAAAATCAAAAAGAACATTCCTTCACACGGTTGCATGATATATTAATTTCGTTTTTCCCCCTTCGCTGGTTTATGTGTTCAGTCATTCACGCACTCATGTCATTAATCACGTGTGCACTCATGAATCAGATATTCGCTGCTTTGCTCAGGCTCTCGTTGGTCAAGCGGCTGCTGGGAACAGCTCAGTCCCGGGCGGCACGGAGGACACAGCGGTGGTGACAGCCCTAGCCCCGGCCTCAGGTCGGAATCAGTCCAGTGGGAGTGATCCTGCCGCTGTACATTTAGTCGCCTACCACAGACGTGGTGACTACAGGAAGGAAAAGTACAGAAAGCCTCGTCACACAAGGAAACTGACCCCGCGCGGGCGACACCGGAGGGGTGCGAGGGCTGAGCAAACCGAGGGGGAAGGCTTTCCGCGGCAGGGACGGGGCGGCTCCAATAATAGCCGTGGGGTTGGCAGAGACTGCTCCTTCTGCACTCGGCACCGGCTCGCGGGAGCCCCATTCCGCCCACCGGCAAACTGAGGCTGAACACATGGAATCTCTCCTTCAAGGTCCCCAGCTCTGGTGAGCCTGCAGCCCCAGAGCGCTCACGCCACCAGCCCATGCTGTGTACTGCTGTTCTGAACCGCCCTTCCCAAGCCAATTAGCCATCATCAGTTCAGCCTCCTAAATTGCGGGAAGGAGGGAGGGTGCTGTGAGCTCCCCTTGTCTCAGCCTCCCAGAGTACCGGGGTCACAGGGATCTGCTACCGTGCCGCGCTCTCTTGAATCCTTCCTCTCCTTCCGGTCCTGTGGCCCTGGCCCTGTTCAGAGCCTTCTCCCTTCCAGTCCCCCCGCAGTCTGCTGGCTTCAGGAGTCCTCTCAGTACAGAAAGCTGCCCCTGCCCCTCCTGCGCTCAGAATCTGCCATGGCGCCCCAGCTCCCTGAGGAGAGGGTGTAAACTGCTTCACCTAGAAAATTACCACCTTGCAGAATTTAGTCCCTGCTCACCTCTCTGTGCGCACCTTGCGCCAATCGCCAGACGTTTACCTCCTCCAAGCTCCCCAGAGGATCTCTGCAGGCGGGATTTCCTCCCCGCAGCCTTCTTCTATCCCCATCCACACTTTCCATGCATGTCTAGGATGTGGCTCAGCTGTCGTCTCCTCCGGGAAGACGTCCTTGACTCTCAGTCAGGGTTACACACGCGTGCTGGGCCCCCTCCTTCCTATGGGGGCCCTCAGCTCTGTCACCTTGGTGTTGTTCCCGACTTGGGATGGATCTGTATCCACCACTGGACTATGAGCCATAGGAGAGGAGGGCAGGACTTGGGGCTCAGTCCCTGCACTGTCTCCATTCACAGGAGGAACTTAGAAAAAAAAATGTTGTTGTTGTTGTTTTGTTTTGAGACAGGGTCTCACTGTGTAGCCCAGGCTAGCCTTGAATGCACTAGGTAGTCCAGGCTGGCTTTGTACTTGCAGTGATCCTCCTGCCTCAGCATCCTAGTACTAGGAGTACGGGTGCGAGCCACGATGCTCAGCAAAATAATTTTCTATTTATTTTACTGAGACCGACTTTCACTAGTAGCCCAGTCTGAAATGCTTGATCCTCTCCCACGTGCTGCGATGATAGGTGTGTGCTACCACACCTGACAACTCTCCTTGTTCATTTTGCTAAAACATCCAAAGGATCTTGGGCGGACCACCTCATCCTCAGAGTGCTTGCTGTGATGTGAATAAGAGGGATGGGTTTTACCAGGGTGATGGCTCCCCTGCAGCTTTGAGAAAATAAAATGATAATACTTTTTCTTTCTTTTTTTAATTTATTTTTTTTAACTTTTTCTTGATAGTCTTAGGTTGGCCCCTATATGTTCATATCCCAAAAGAGATGGCTGCAGAAAATCACAGGAAACGTACTGAGTGTAAGAGAGCCACGCTTCTGCAGTTCACATAACCTGGAGGACTCTGTTCACATCCAGAATGGTCTTCAGAAATCGAGAGTGCAGACTCATTAAATCTCTTTTAGGAAAGCTTTTTACTTTACCCCTTTAACTTCTGCTGTTAAAGTAGAAGTTCTCTGCTGGAGCCACTGGGCATCCAACCTCCAGCCAAAAATTTTCACCAGGATCCTCTGAGGCCCTTTAGCACATCAAGACCTCACAGCTAATATTCACCTCCCTTCTTTTCCCCTTGTGACAGGCTTGCTTGTCTGTGATGGGGAGTAGCTCCTGATCCTGCAGGCAGGGGGTTCCCTGCTGAGTTCTGTCCCGTTGCGCATGTGTGTGTGTGTATGCGTGTGTGTGATCCTCTTAGGGTCCAGCCTCACTCTCTTGCAGAAAGGAAGCCAAGTAATGGATGCCCAAAGAAAAATAGACACTGTGGCCTGGTGGATGCATTTTTCAGAGCTTTTTTATTGGCGACAGTGCAGAACCAAGAGGAGAGGGGAGCAGCCCAGTACCAGCCACCCCAGCCCCCAGGGTCAAGTGCAAAATACAAAAAAAGGAGTCACAAATACAGCATGGGGTGGAAGGGAGGTTGGGGATTCAATAACCTGTGGTCGGAAGGGCCAGGCCCTGCCCAAACTCACACTCACACCCGGGATTCTCCATGATACAGACTAAAAATTCACTATCGCTCAGACTTACAAAATTAAAAATTCAGGTCCCCAACGAACCCAGTCAGCAGACAGCTGGAGGATCAGGGACAGTCAGAAAAGTGACAGGTGGGAATGGTCAGAGACAGGAGAAACATTCGGAGAGGCCAGAGACTGTCAGACCAGTCAGAGGGGCTGAGACTATCAGAAGAGGGACAGCTAGAGAGACGGGTAGAGACCGCCCGAGACAGACTGATTCAAAGTTTTAGGAGCATTTCCAATTCCACGGCACACTTAGATGCAAAGCATTCACACGCACACGCTCACGCACACACCCATATATAATATATTTATTTATACATAATAGATATAAGTGCCTTTTGGAAACCAGGGAAGGGATAAATAGGTCAGGGAGGGTCTGGTTTGGGGCCAGAGACGTGGGACCAGGGTGTGGAATGTTGTCCATGCAACACGGAGGGTGGCAGGGCCACTCTCATATTAAAAAATAGAAATCTGCTTCGTGATGAAATGCTCACAGGTGAAGCTCAAAGGAAGGCGAGGTGGGAGCGCCAAAACCGAAGTTCGGAGCTGAGGGAGTAAAGGGATGAGGTTGCGGGAGCCCAGCCTCTCCATGTTTGCCAGTCCAAAAATATTAGGGGTCCTGGGGGCCAAAGCCTCAGCCCTTAAAACTTCTCCGGAAAATGTCAAGCCCCTAGCTCCCTTTCTAGAAGGGATGATGCTGGACACCAAGGGCAGGGAGAAGTTGGCGTCCTTGGCTGGGGAAGGTGGGGGCCTTAAAGAAAGACATCAGGGGTCTCAAAGAGGGTGAGGCAACGTGGACCAGTCACTGTCATCCCCTCCTCCGCGATTCTGCCACTCCTTTGAGTCTAAGCCATGGTTGAAGAGAGGAGGAGGCAGATAGGAGTTGGGGAGTCTGAAGGAAGGTTTTGGGGAGTCGGGGTCTTGTCCCACCCGGCCCACCCCATAATCCGGCCGCTCATTCACAGTATAAAGCACTCCAGCAGGACGGCGTCGCAGCACCCTCTGCTGCTTGCAACCAGAAAGGTCTAACAAGGACGGCCCGGGGGCAGCTGGAAGGAGGGGGCTTGGAAATAATACTGCGATCGGAGGGGGGGCTGAATGCGGAGGGGCCTTGGAGGCCAAGAAAGTCCAATCCTAGCCAGTTTGTCTTTCTTTCTTTCTTTTTCTAGGAGGGGATGGCTGGACAATTGGAGCAGGACATTCACATTTCAGAGTAAATCTGGGGAGGAGCTGATTCTCACAGGAAGCACCAGCTGGGGTGGAGGGCTCACTTCTGCCCAGAGGAGGAGTTAACCTCCTGCAAAGGTGGGATAAATAACCTAGAGGCGAGGACACAGGGGGAACCAGCCAGGACAGCCCCCTGGAGAGCGAGTGTGCAAAGCCAGGGGGGTCGCGTTCCTTGTTGGGCCTCTCTGGGGAGGGCTCCAGCCCACCGCAATCCCCTGCCCACCTGCGCCCTTCTCCCCCACCCCGCCCAGCACAGACCGCCCAAAGTGGGCGTCGCCCCCACCCGCCCGTCCCCAGAGGTTGGACTGAAGCAAGAGGACCAACAGGCATCTGGGGGTGTCCGTTCCCTCCCACCCCTGTCCCCAAAGTCACCAGCTCTCCGGTCTCGCCCGGCACAGAAACAAAGAGGCGGCACAAAATGCAAGAGGTCTTCTGTCCCGATGGCAGTGGAGACAGAGGAGGGTCAGACAGAAGAGTCAGGGAGGCCATGCACCCTCTTTGTCTCTTCCCCTCTCTCATCCTCGTCCAAATCGCTCTCCCTTGTGTGTCTGTTTGTTCTGTTTGTCTAAAGAGTTCACAGAGCAAGGAGGGAGGGCGAGTTCAGGGGGTCGGAAGGCTGGTCACTGCCGCTGGTGAGTTGGGCGCCGGCGAATGCGGAGACCTCCGGGCAGGTGAGGACAAACGAGGAAGTGTACGAAGGGTTAACAACGGGGAAGGGGTCGCCGAGGACTTGAACTTCACTGTGTGTAAAGAGAGAAGCCGTCAGGTGGGGGGGCGCGTCTTGGCTGGTCTGGAAGGGCAGGGGCGGTGGTGGCGGGGGCGGCAGCAGCCAGCTGAAACCATCTTCCTTAGCGGATGCAGACCCCGGCAAATCTCTCACCTCCGCCAGCGGGCCTGGCCCCGGCCCGGGCCCCTCTTCGTAGGGGATCTTGCAGCCCGGTTTGTGGGCCACCAGCACAAACTCCAGACGCTCCTTCTCCTTTTGGAGCTCGGCGATCTCCGACTCCAGCTCTGCCTTTTCTTCCTCTAACTGATCTGTCTCCTGAGGTCCATCCGCAGCGCCAAGTCACAGAAATAGTTGGAAGGAGGAGGAAAGGGCGTCAGTGACCAGCGAAGGTGGCTTGTGGGCCCTCCCCTCCCGAGGTTGCTACTGCACGGGGTGCTCCAAGCAACCCCAGAATAAGTCCTGGCACACTGCAGGACTTGAGGTGGTTCCTTCTAAGGAGCCTCAGTTTTTTTCATCTGTGCAATGGGTGGGAGGTTGTCCCTTAGGTGAGCAGGAAATACAGACAAGTTTGTTGACTGAATAAACAACTGCTCTGTGTTTTTAATGCTTTAAAAGGGGAGTTACTGTCACCCTTCCTCTACCTCCCAGTAGGAAAGTAGAGAATGGCTCTGGTTTTCTTGAAGGGCAACATGGGGGCACCTTGTGCAGGCATTAGTAGGGAGCTCAGGCTGAGGTGGGGTGCAGAAACGAGTGGGCTATGGTGAATGCCACCATCCCAAGTTCTGGAGAACTGTGGGTGGCTGGGGCAGGAAGTGGGGAATTAATTTAGGATAAAATCATGTAGTTTCACAGATTCTTCCAAAATTTCAAGGAAGATGGAGCCTGGGATAGTTGATGAGGAGGTCGAAGAGATTGGCAAATGGGCAAAAAGGAGTTAGGGCTTAGTCAACACCAAATGGAAGAGAGGACTGAAGCTGCCCACCACTTGTCCCCACGAAATAAATGAACAAAAGCCCAGGCTCGGCCAGGAGCTGACAAGGAATGCAGGGGCCCATGGTTGTGTCCAGGGCCACCCCGTCTGGCCACACTGTCCCCAGTTCCAAGTGAGACAGCGCTAATTCTGATCCCACAATAAAGGCACAGTGCAGGTGGGGGACAGAGGAGGGAAGAGCTCACCCCTCCCGTGCCCTCTCCCCCAGGGACCACCCTTACCGCCTGCAGTCTGTCAGTGAGCTCCCTCCGACGGTTCCTACATTTAGCGGCTGCCAGTTTGTTCCGCTCACGGCGAACCCTTCGCTTTTCCTCTTCCTCTGGGGTGAGCTAAGTAGAGGAGGCAGACGCCATGAGATTTGGGGATAGAGTGCACCTCTTCCATCCCTGCCAAACCTCCTCTTCTTCCAGGACCCCCAAGAGCCAACAGGGGCCCTGCAGTCCTTGCGGACTGTAGTAACAGTGATGAGGTTTCTGTAGCCTTAAGGCCTTAGCACCCCCCCCCATAGTGATAAAGTTCCCACATCTCTTGTCTCCTACCCCTGCCAGGCCAACTTCTGACTCACACCCCACTCACCGTCTCCTCTCGGGGTCTTCTAGGCCGGGCTCGTGCTGGGCGGGTAGGCCCAGGTCCGCTGCTAGTTCCACTGGTGGAAGGCCCACCGCTGCCACTAGCACCGCCACTACTGTAGCCACTCATGCCTGGTGTGGAGTAGCTGGTTCCTGGCATGTCGTAGGGGTCAACTGCAGGGGGCTGGGAGGCCAGGGGTTGCCCCTGGGACTGGGCCATGGAAGAGATGAGGGTGGGTTGCACGAGCCACTGGAGGTCCTGGCTGGTTGTGATCGCGGTGACCGTGGGCACGAAGGAACCGGGCATTTCCCCGAGACCGGCGCACTCCTACGGGGTGACACATACACATACAGGCGTAGACACACAAACAAAGACACCGACACACACACGCCCAACACACATAACACACCGACCCTGTGAGTGAGCACAGGGTGAGCGGGTGTGGATGTGTGTTTCACAGGCAAAAAGCCACAACACCCACCCTTCTACTACACCGTGACGCAGTGGTTAATGAGAGGATTTCTGCTCAACTGGCTTCTACCTCCTCCTTCTTCCTCGGGGAAAGGTTGCACGGTTCCAGCGGGTGGTGAATCACACCCCGGGTTGGTGACTCTTAGGTGTAGGGGGTGGAGAGGAGGCTGGACACAGCCTGGTGACAGAACCCCGGGATGGAGCCACAGCCACATACACAGCCACAACACCCCACCCCCACCCCAGAGGCAAGGGGAGGGAGAGGGAGAGGCCTTAGACCAAGCCTTCCTCTACACACACACACACACACACACACACACACCCCTCTGTGCGAGGTCCCCTGCTGGGGAGGGGGTCCCAGTTAAAAGGGCGTTGGGGCACGGGCCTAGGAGTTGAGAGCATCGTTTCAAGTAACTGTCTTTCTCCAGTGAGACTGATAAGTGACAAGTTCAGGGGCACAAACAGGTAGGGGAAAGTGACAACTCGGCTGAGACTGTCGCTGAGTGGGATAGTGTAGGACCTGACCCCCTAGCCCCAGGAATACTACTCGCCCCCCACCCGCAAGTGGCATCCTGGAACTGTTCTGGAGGCTTAATTACTCTGCTGGGGGGCGTGGTGAGGGAAGGGCTGGCTCGTTGGCCAATCAGCGTTCTGGGAACCGAGAGGGGCGGAGCTCCCGGAGACCACTTGGCTGGTTCCCCTCCGGCTATCTGTTCTGGTTCAATCTTTGGACCTGAGAGAGGGACCCAGCCTGCGGGGCAGGAAGAGGGAGTGTCCTTGTATGTGCCGTGAAGAGAGGGTGGTGACCACCACATCTATAGAATAAACGCCGGCACACAAAAGAGTAACCTTCTGCTCCTGAGCACTGACAGACTAGGTTCCTACAAGATCCTCGCAGACCCATGGATTGCAGAGGGTTGTTTTTGTTGCGACAGGCGTCCCGTCGTTGTGCCTCTAAAGGCCCTTAAAAGAGTTCCAAGCGCCTAGGAACCTCGCGTTTCGGGGACAGAAGTGGGGGGAAGGGAACTGCGCTCTCCAAATAGGAAGGGAAAGTTGATTGGTCAAATCCCTGCGCCGCGGCGACCAATCGGAACGCCGAGCTGCCTCCCTTAGCAACGTGGCCCCGGCGTTCCAAAATAGAACGCTCCCGGGACGTCAGGGGCGGGGCGGGCGAAGGGGGCGTCGCGCGCCGTGCGTGCCCCGCGTCAGCCGGAGGATTCCAGCGCGTCAGCCGTTACGCACGGGTCCCCCGTTACGTCTCCGCGCAGGAGGCGGAGGCAGCGCAGCAGCGGGTTCGAGGCCCGCTTTCCCGCAGGGTAGAGGATGACCCGGCGCCAGAGTGGGCGCTGGGAAGGAGAAAAAAGGTAGACGCTACTGATAACTTCCCCCCTCCAGCCTAACTACCCTAACTTCAGGTTGGGGACCTGAACTGGGGGCAGCACGGGAGCCGGCTAAAAGTTATCAGCCTTGCTACCGCATACACGTTGCACTGACCGCGCGCTCATTCCTCTGCGCTCTGAGCAGAGCCTGTCCAGCTGTTTCCTCCCCGCGCTCTGCGCACAAAAATTGCAAATATCTGCCGATACTTTACAAAGTGCACTGTCAACCTATTCTCTCCCATATCCTGGGTTCTGGCGTGGCTGTACTTGAGGAGTGGCGGTAGCCCACTCCATCCATCCTAAGCAAAAACAACAACAACAACAACAAAAAGACTTTCAAAGCATCACCTCTACTATCGAGCGCTTACCTGGGAGGCGGCGGCGGTGGGTGGACTGCCGAAGGAGTCCACCGAAGACAGATACTGAGACTCGGCAGAAGGTGAAGAGCTGCACCGGGAGCCGGAGTCGTAGTCTCCGGGGAAAGCCTGAAACATTTCCCTGGGCACAGGGGGGGCCCTGTGACCACGCTGAGGTCGCCGGGAAGCCAAGGCTATGGCCGGATGGGATAAGTAAGGTGCGAGTCCGGGGTAAGCCGAGCGCGTCCCCAAAGTGCGCAGTCTGGGAAGCAGCGTCCCGCTCCAACAATAGCAAAGTTTCCGTGCAATTCCTCCGCAGTACCCAGGCCCCTACAAGGATGCCGCTGTACCTCCTAAAAGTCCAGGCTCTGGTGGACACGAGAGCAAGTGGGGATTGCTCCCCAAGAGGCAGAAAGCGCCTTTCCGCTGTACAGAATTCGCTTCGGGTGCGGTCTTCCACGCGTTCGGCTGGTCCCCCGACGGGGAGTAATAAAGAAGACGAAAAAGTTGAGTCAGTCTTCCAAGATGTAATGAAGAAATAAGAAAAAATCTTCTTAAAACTTTCTCTCCGGAATTAAAAATTTCACAACCCCCAGGAAGAATCACAATAATCCAGGTCCCCAAGTCCCGGCTCCGTGTATCCCTGCCGCGGCAATACCTCCCAGCCTTATGAATGAAGCACAGAGCTGCCAGCCTGTATTTATATGCCCGGGACCCGCCCCCTTGCTTACGTCACCCCCCCTCGTTCAACAAACTTCCCAAAAATCTTCGTTCCCACTAAACCAATCCCCGCGTCCCCCATCAGGAGGTCTTCGCTACCCTTGTTCTGGTCATCTGTAGGACCCTCGCGGGTTTGGGGGTCTCGGGGGTTGTGTTCCGGCCCACTCGGCAGGAGGGGATCCCGGCCCCCCTTTCCCGGAGTTCCTGTGACGCAATTAGCCATATAAGGAGCTCGACCGGCGCGCCGGAGTGTTTGTTTGGTATCCTAGCAATGACGTCAGAGGGAATCCCTCGCTCGCTCAAGCTCGCCTGCGGAACCCGCCTGCGCCTGCGCAGTGGCACGCCGCCCCGGGGGCCGGTATTAATAGGTGCTTAAAGTATCCCCGGGAGCCCCCAGTGACCTAGGCAAAGAAAACCGTCTCCTCTTCTCTGGCGCCCCCATCTGCCTCAGTGTCCGGCTGGTGCAGCGCCCCCTTTCGAGAGGAAGACCAGATGTCCAAAAAAAGATACTATTGTGGTGCAGACACGTAGGGAGGTAAACTGAGTCCTGAGCGGGATTTGAGGTTGTGATGCTCCAGGTTAAGGTGGAGGTGAGTTTCGAGTCGCAGGGCTCTTCTCAGCTTCTGCCTGATTTGCTCAACTTAGAAAATGTTTTCCCTTTCTGACCTTCAGTTTTAAGTGAACCAGCTGAGTGGTTCCCAGTTCCCCCATTGGACCGGCACAAAGGTTTGGAAGGACTGTAAAATAAACGAAGCTCTCAGGTGATGATCTTGATAGTCTCTTCCTGCTTCATAATTTTACCTGGAGACAGAAAGAATGTGTGTGTGTGTAAAATTAATAAAATAACTGATTAATGTAGTTAGAACTTCATACTGGGGTCCTCTACTAAGCCTTCCGATAGAAGGCTTGTAATATTCAAAACAGCTTTGGGGTTTGTGGGGTATTAAACCCCTGGGCCGTATGCATGCTAGCAAATACTCTAGCTCTGAGTTATATCCCCAGCCCTTTTAAATTTTTATTTGAACACAGTGTTCTGCTAAATTACCCAGACTCGTCTTTAATTTAAAATCCTCTCGCCCTAACCACTCAAGGGTCTGGGATGATAGACATCCACAACCATGCCTGGATCGAACAATCTTCAGTTCATAAAAAAGGATAATGATATTCAGAGAGGCTAGGTGACCTGCCCAAGATCCTGTCATAAGACATTAAAGCCCCCCAAGAAAGAAAAAGAAATCAAATTCTAGAGCACCTCCTGTTTTTTGTTGTATTTGTGGGGTGGAGTTGCAGTATGTTGCCCCAGCCTTGGGCTCAAACAATCCTCTTGCCTCAGTCCTTAGAGAAGCTGGGAATCCTGGAGTGTGCACAGGGGCCAGGTTTAGAGGTCTAGCAGTTTGTTTTCTTCCTGATTTCTTTGACCTGCCTGGCAGGGTGAAACAGCCTGAAAAACCTGTGCCTGAAGATTGTGTAAATGATAACGGTGTCATAACTGGTAGTGCTGTCCTAGCAATTGGCATCCTTTATGAGCTTTACAAGCCCACCCTCGCAGTGTACGCTATGTAATCTAGGTGGGGGGGAGGGTAAAGGTGGGGGGAGGGTAAGGCTGCTTGCCCCAAGCAGCTCAGTTAACATATAGGGCTCAACAATCTAATACAGCCTGGCATGGTGACATGTGCCTGTGATTACAGCATTCAGGAGACTGAAGCAGGAGGATTGCCATGAATTTCAGGCCAGCCTGGGATACATAATGAATTCAAGCACCATATGGGTACTTTGATACTATTGCAGGAGCTGGTCTCTCCCCTCCAGAGTCTTCACACTGATATACACTTCTAGCCCCTTTTATTATTTTATTTTTTGGCGGAACCGGGGATTGAACTCAGATCCTTGCGTTTGCCAGTCAAGCGCTTATCCTACTGAGCCATCTCCCCGGCCCCTTATTATTTTATTTTATTGAGGCAGGGTCTTGGTTGTTAAGTTGTTCACACTGGACTAACACTTATGATCCTCCTTCCTCAGCCTTCCAGATTGCTGGGATTACAGGCATTCACTACCACACAGGTGTTTCTGAAGTCATAGCCCCCAACTTTGAAGCACCCAAAAGGAAGGATGCCACCAACTACCACACAAACAGAAAGCCCAGCACCTGCTCCTGCTGCACAACCTGACCCAGAGGGAGTGGTTCCCTAATTCCCAGGGGAGTCTTGATTCTCAGCTCCAAAAGTGGGGAGTGGGTATGGCTAGAAGGCTGGAGGTATGTGGGGGTCATGAAAGGGCCACTGAGATTTTCAGACAAAAGCCTAGACTCCAACCATCCTCCACCTTCTTCCTTCACGCCCCCTCTGTCTGCTACCAGCCAGGAGGGAGGGACAGGGATGGGGAATGACACAGCAGCCACCAGCAAGCAATGACTTGGCATCAGCCACAGACAGGGAGTGACCCCCCCTCCTGTCCCTGTCTAAGCCCCTCATCTCCTCTTGCATGGAACAAGGAGACACACAAACACTTGTCCTGGCTGCCCAAAGATCTTTAGGCCCAACTCAGGTGGAGCATACACCCACAAAGCCACTGTTGTGCAGATTCAGGGCCCATGGGGTCACACATGGGTGCTCGGACAAATGTCCACAAGGAACAGTGTACTTAGTCACACAGAACTGGGTTCATAGACACACACATGCACACGGTGACATGACTCCCAGTATGCATGACATATGTTCACACTCACAGAGAATTTTCAGGTGTACAGCACACAGGGAGAGGGACAGAACTAAAAAAAAACAGGAACCCTAGAAGCCACTATAGATGTACATAGATTCACACATCAACACCCAGGGATCAGGACATCATCAGATGTGCATACACACACGTGCACACGCGCGCACACACACACACACACACACACACTCAGACACTCAGACCAGCAACTACATACCCTGACAGAACAGCCAGGCACATAATTCAACAAGAGTAAAAAAAAAATGAAGGGCCAGCGAAATAGCTCAGCAGATTAAGCGCCTGCTTAGGCAAGTGCGGGGACCAGGGCTCAATTCTTGGCACCACATGCCGTGCCAGCCCTGCCCACAGGGCAGGCTGGTCACAGAGCCTGGAGGTAGTGGCCTTCACCTGTAATCCCAGTGCTGGGGAAACTGAAAACAGGAGGATCACTATGAGTCCAAGCTGCGTATTGAGACCCTGTAACAACCAAATACATTTAAATAAATAAATAAATAAATAAATAAATAAATAAATAAAATAGCCGCATGGGGTGTTGTGTGTCTGTAATTCTTGTACTCTGGAGGCTGAGGCAGGAGGATCATCTCCAGTTCAAGGCCCGCCTAAACTACCTAGGGGAACCCTGTCTCAAAAAAAAAAAAAAAGTTATTCTTAAACTTTTTATTTTAAAGTCATTCTTAACTTTACAGGTGCAGACTTTCTCGATTTCTTACATCTGTCACAGGCTTCCTGTGTCCCACAGAGAAGAGGACCCTGGAGACAGAGTGCCACGCAAATGCATGTGCACACAGGACAAAACATCTGTACTTACCCTGCAGAGTACAGGGCAGAAGAGTCCAGTTTGTCCCTGTAGCCACCCAATCCTGGGAAGCTTCCAGGAGGAGGAGGAGGAGGAGGAGGAAGAGGAAGAAGAGGAGGAGGAGGATCAGGAGGACTTGAACATGGGGCAAAGGGCAGATCCTGCTCAGGCTCCCAGGGCTTGCCCTTCTGTCCCCAGAGCCCTTCCCTTTGGAAAACGCCCCTGTCCTTCCCATGGCCACATCCCTGGGACTGTCCTCCTGTCTGAAGGGTGAGGTTAAATGACTGCAGACCTTGAAACTTAATCGTAGCAGCCAAAGGTGGTGGCACGTGCCTGTCATCCCAGCACTGAGGCAGGGGGATTGCTGTGAGCTCGAGGCCAGCCTGAGCTGCATAGAAAGACCCTGCCTCAAAAGTGAAGAAGGAATACATTTAATAATAGTGTAGCTACACTCGGCACTTTTACATGCCTTATCTCAGCTAAGCCCACTCCACCGCAGCCCTGAAAGTAGATTCTGTTATTGTCCCTGTTGTACAGAAGAGGAAACTGAGGCACAGAGGGCTGACTTAGGCCTGAATGCAACAGCAGTCCGGTTCACGTTCTGAACTGGGGTGACCTTTGCCTTTCCAACAAGACCAGGCTGGCACTGAACCATGGGTCCCACTGGCTAGCCAGGCCACGCCGCAGGAATAGTCCTGGAGGTCTCGGAGGGGTATTTCAGGAAGGCAGGTGGCTCACACTGGAGTCGCAGCTCACCCTCACTGCGTTCCCATTCCAGCTCCTCGCCATGGGCCTTCAGGCTGGCATGACCACAAGTACCAACTGCTCCAAGTCTCCCCTCACTGTGGCATCCCTGTCCCAGATGTCCACACTGGCCTCCTCTAGCCTTAGCTCCCGCATCCCTTCCTCTGGAAAGTCCTCCCTGACCACAGTCCTGTGTTGGGCTTCATTCCGCTCCCTCTCTTGCCTCTGCCTTCCGGGTTCATCACTGTCTGGGGACAGTTGTATTCCACTCATTGTGAGTCCCATGAGGTCTAGGTTCCAGTTGTGGTGGTCACTGCTGTGTCCCACCCCATAGCCCAGGAAGGGCTCAGTACATGCTTAATAAACACTTGTCAAGCAAATGATTCACCACCATGTACTCCTTCAATTATTCTTTCATGGGTTCTAACAGGCCCCAGGGAGAGAGGCCTCTGCCAGGGTGCTGCCAGGGTGGCTCGAGGAGGATGGCAGGGGTCAGCCGCCAGCTGCCAGCAAGAGGCTGCACAGAGATCAGGTGCTGAGGCAGCTGCTTGGCCAGCTGGGACTGTGCGCTCCATCCAGGAGGGAGGTTTGCCCATCAGACTGCCAACTCTGACAGTTGCCTTTGTGCACACCAACACCACTGCGCTACATGCTGGTGTGCACATCCCAGTCACACACAC